TTAAGCTGTTGAGACCAGTTCCCACGACGTGGCAAAGGGAGGCCACGATGTGGCGACGGGGGGAATTCCCGATTAGTTTGTCATTTGTCTCACTTCATGGCTAATGGAAGGCAATGATGTGGAGATATGTTGTAGTGGACTTTGACCGTTGACCGTTGGATTTTTGATCAGTTTGACTTTTAGTTAAACTTAGAGAGGTGTTGACTTATAGTCTAAGATTTAGTTTGTAATGGAAGGCCATGATTTTAGGTCTTCATTTAGGTGAGTCTTCTCACTATACTATAACACACTAGATTTTAATTGTGCATGCTGTCTTTATGACTCTTGGTGATGTGCTTGTATGTTGTATGCATGAAGCAAATTTGGGCTCGGAGTTAATATGGACTCAGGGTTGATATAGCCCCGATGGAGTCAATTTGAGCTCAGAGTCAATATGGACTTGGAGTTAATACAAACTCGGGGTTGATATGGACCTGGGGTTGTTACGGACCCGTTACAACTACGTGCTGTTATATACTACCTCTGTCCCAAATTTATTGTCCACATTTGACTTTTGAAGTCTTTATTCTTCAACTTTAACCTTAATTTTTTTTTGTTTTCAGTAGATTATAGTTGATGCAAAATATATGAATGAATTATATTTTAAATTTCTTTTCATTGTTATAAGTTTTATTAAGAAAAATATAATACAAATAAAAATATTTAAGATGAAAATTGAAGAAATAGACTTCAAAAGTCAAAGGTGAACAATTAATTTGGGACAGAGGGAGTATATGATATGTAGTATTTTAGGAAACTTACTAAGCTTTGTGCTTATAGTTGTGAATTTGATATTTTGCAGCTTCTTATCGGTTTGCGAAGGCGGTATTGTATACACACATCACTAACTTCATGTTTCGAGATTTCACATTGTCTTATTTATAACTTTGATTTCTGAATAATGATTTATGAACAAATGGTTTGATCTGAATGTAATTTTATTAATAATGGATGTTTATTCTATTTAAAAAAAATGAAAAAAATTTATTCTGCAATTTGGGACATTACAATTGATACCTTATCATGGTGAGCTCTTTGTTGTGGATTGGTTGAGATATATAAAATATGATAAATTTTCGGTAGGTTGAGATATATAAAATATGATAAATTTTCGGTAAAGCCTTGAAACTCTATTTTTATTGATGAAAAAGACATGAGTTTACTTTTTGAACATAAGTGACAACTTGTTGAAAATTTTGCAAAAGTTCAAACGTTTGTAGTGGCTTTTGCTAAAAAAAATAAGGGGGTTTTTATTTTTTATTTTTTTATTTTTTATCTTTATAAAGAATATATCATTTTATTTTATTTTTATAACTTAATTGTATTTTTACTATAATATTATAATATTATTGTATTTTTTTATTTGATTCAGATAATCCAGATTTGAAATAAAGCAATATTATTGAAATAAAAATCTGTTATTGCATTTTATGTGTTTGATCAAGACATTATCTTACTATATTCTCTTTTATTATACCGTAAAATCTCATGAAAAATCATGTCATTTTAAAAAAAACAGTAATAAGTCTTATTTCCAAAATGCCCTTGTAAGCGAAATAATGTTTTTAAGAGCTAAAATCTCAAATGTATAAAATTCTTCTAACTTTTTGTGCGCTTATGTGCCAAAAATAAAATATCGTTTTAATAACTAATGACGAAGTTTCAAATCTTTTACTAAAGATTGTTCATATAAAATATTGATGGTAGTATAGTAGTATCTACCATTTTATCGCATTTATAAAATTTATTGAAATTAAAAAATAAAAAGGTCTGCTCCACGACTTAAATGAACATTAAATCAATTTGACAATCAACATAAAAACTTTATTTAAAGAATTTGGATAATACGGAAAGTTGGGGATGAATGGTAAAGACGATGCAGCGGTAGGCGATGATGAGGCGCCCTACTGAAATACTTCAACGATTCGCCAAGAATCAAATTTCATTTGCGTATAGAAGACAAATCAAAGAACGCGGCGTTCACTTTGGGGATGAGATGAATTGTAATTTGTAAACACGAGACAGCGAGAGGCGCTGAGACGCCCTAAGCGTATCTCGAATAAATCAAAGAAAATTACCTTTCCTGGTTAATCCATTTCAAAACATAAAGAATCATCCAAAACCCGCATTAGATTCGACGCAAATACAATATATTTTTTTGACTTATAACTCGATTGGCCAAGGGGGTTTTTGTTCGCGGTGGCGATGGTGGCAGAAGATGGAGGAGAGGAGAGCAGTAGTAATGGATCAAAACCCAAGAAATCAGAAATGTTGGCGATTCACTCCTCCTACTGGTTGACGAATTTCCCTAGAGATCTGATGGCAGGGGCAATGATGGGTGGAATGGTGCACACGGTTGTAGCTCCAATTGAGAGGGCAAAGCTTCTATTACAAACCCAAGAAAGCAACATCGCCATTGTTGGAGGGAAGCACAGGAGGTTTAAAGGTATGATTGATTGCATTGTCCATACGGTTAAAGAAGAAGGGGTTTTATCACTTTGGAGAGGTAATGGCAGCAGTGTTCTTCGTTATTACCCTTCTGTTGCCCTCAATTTCTCTCTCAAGGTATCCCCTCTTCTCCAAATTCTTGTTTTTGGGGCATTTGCATTCCTTTCTTGCATATGGGTTTGTGCTCAAATGTTTTTAGTTTAGTCCCAGGTATAGTTTGCAAGACTTCTTTAACTAATTCTTGAAAAAACTGAATCTAGAACTAATCTATTATAGATTAATACAAGAGTCTTGGCTATCAGAAGTCCAAAAGATCGTCTCTGTTTGATAGTTGATCCCCATGAATACAGTAAAATGGTTTAAAATTGGATACGTAAGCATTGATGCCATATCTTGTAGTTTAAGAAAGTTATTTGTCTTTCTATAAAGGGACATTTGTGCCAATAGAGATGTCCGTTACAGTCGTGTAGATGTTTTGGCCGAATATATGCATGAGTTGATGTTTCATGGTTATGATGGAGTGCACATACTTTGATTATAGTAATTCATATTATAGTTAGTGTTTGATATATGATACATACTTCGAATGACATGTTTCCAAAAGTACTATGAATGTTCACAAAACCAAGATGAAGATCAGGGGAAGCTTACAAATACAAACCAAGATAGAGGCATTGATTAAAAGCCACATTCTTCACTTATTCTTTTTCTTGATTTTGAATGTTTCACATTATAAATTACCTTGACATGCTACCCTTGACATGTCTGGTGAATATAAAAATTATTGGCGAACACAATTGCTTTCAGAATGTTCTTAGACTTACTTCTCCTACAGATCGTTACTAATTAAATTCTAAGTAAAAATTGACCATGTCTATAGCATGCAGAAGTATCATTAAGGGGGAGATGAATATCAATTCAAACCTTTGAAAGGTGTTTGGGTCATTAGTCATTTTTTTAGCATAGTCTTTAAGTTGATTTTTCTTAGTGGTGGAGCCTATAGAATAATTTACATGATAACAGCGTATTGAAAAGCATCAAGCAGTGCTACGTAGTCAAGTGACTTTCTATATATAGAGAGTATAATCATCTTTAGATTATGTAAACATATGAGAATAAAATAATTTGATGCTAATGCTATACTATTTTGAATTGCTTTCTAAACGTCTAGCTTCACTGTACCATTGATGCAATGACTCATAAAAGAATCTAAATATTCCCTTCATGTACTCCTAATTCAACATTTATTTAATAGTCTAAATGATTATGTGGAATGCTTAACTCCTAGGCAGACTAACTGTTCCTAGTGAGGGATCTATGTTTCTAATACTTGTGGTTTGAATAATATATTAATATTTCAAAGCTGTATTTAAATGAAAATATTTTTAGGTTTTCTTTCACAGAAGCTATTATTTCACAAATACACCAAATTTGGAATCTTAACAAGAAAGGATTTTGCATAGATATTTATTAAATACAAGTATACTATATATAGATAAGAAACGACAACAAGCCATTCGACAACACCTAACAAGACCTCATTCAGTAGATAACTCCGACAGATATCGTAATAGGAACGCCCGACACCCTTCGACGTGTCTCAACTCAATGATAATGAACAGAACAAGTTGTACTGTGTTTGGCATGCATTTGACTGACAATTGTGTCCCATCCAAAAAAGGTGGAACAAGATGAGATAGGTTTCACTCGTCCGTTCCAAAAAGACGTAAATGCCCTTTTCATCTAAAAATCTTTCATTTTGCAGGATCTTTATAGAAGCATCTTACGCAGCAACAACAACTTCCAACAATCTACATTCTTATCGGGCCCATCAACCAACTTCATCGCGGGGGCCGCAGCCGGGTGCACGACGTTAGTGATCATCTACCCGCTAGACATCGCGCACACCCGCCTGGCAGCCGATCTCGGGAGAATCGATTCCCGACAATTTCAAGGCATCCGCCACTTCCTCACCACGGTGTACGCGAAAGACGGGGCCCGCGGGATCTACAAAGGCCTCCCGGCCTCCCTTCAGGGCATGGTGGTCCACCGTGGGATCTATTTTGGTGGATTTGATACCATAAAAGAAAAAATGTCACAAGATGGTGAAGTCGCGTTGTGGAAGCGCTGGATTGCAGCCCAAGGGGTGACCACGTCAGCGGGTCTTTTGTCGTACCCGATGGATACCGTAAGGAGGCGGATGATGATGCAATCGGGTATGGAGCGACCCATGTATAGAAACACTTTGGATTGTTGGAAAACGATTTATTTGACTGAAGGGGTTCGGTCGTTTTATCGGGGGGCGCTTTCGAATATTTTTAGAAGTACAGGGGCTGCAGCCATCTTGGTGTTGTATGATGAGGTGAAGAAGTTTATGGACTGGAGTGGATCATAGCAGAAAGTTGTAGGAGAGAGAGAGAGAGAGAGAGAGAGAGAGAGAGAGAGAGAGAGAGAGAGAGAGAGAGAGAGAGAGAGTAGAGTAGAATTATATTTTTATACACAGGCACAGACGGTAGGCGATTTGATGAAATGTGACTTGTTTAGTATGTGGTGACAACAACCATGAGATTTTGTTAAGGAATAAAGTAACATACAACTTTTAAGCTTTTAAAAAAGTTATAAGTATTTTTTCTGGACATTATTTGGATTTAAAATAACATTGTTACTTTTTGAGTGTTTTGTATTTGTTAGTGTGGACGTGAAGTCATTGTGGTATTATAATTTTGGTTATGTAATTGGGGTGCTTTTGGTTTTTAGCATAATATTCATTGGAGGGAATCTTTACCAAATATTTGACACCATAATCAAATTAAATAATCAATAGTTATATTGTTCTGTTTTAGACTTTAGCGGTGCTTATTTTTTTGGGGGTTTCTTTTCAAATAAAAATAAAATGTTGTCATGTCATAAATTGGTTTCTCCAAAATACCCCTGGAAATTTGGAATCACATTTTATCCTATCATACTCTTAAACACTTCCTAATCACATCATGAGACTTGAATCATCGACTTTAACGATAAAGACAACATTTTATTCTATTGGGTTAGAAACTTTTTGGTGGTTATACATTTATGTAATGTATTGTTAGCAAAATGCTACAAAAAGAGACATTACAATTAAGTTTCTCAGTTATTATATCTTTTACGTAACTTCAGTCATACAAATCAGACATAGATTTTAAAACATGGTACAATACCAAAGATGGGAATTATTTATTTAGTATTATATATTTGTTTTGTTTTGATGAATAAAGTATAAAGAATGGAATAATGGGGAAAAGGGTGATGTAGACCAAGTGAAGACAGATTGTGCACCAAACAACCCCATTAAGGAACTTGGATCCATTTTGCTTTGCACTTTGATTTGCCATCATTATTATTTTTCTCGGAGATTCATTATTAGATTCCATTGATTTATTACCTCATCTTTCTAAAATGGGTTGGATCGCATCAATTTTTTTTATAAGGATCTAAGGAAGACATTAGTTTATTAATAATGTATGTTTTGTTTTTGTTTTTGTTTTTTTTTAATATTATATATACAAATTTAATAAGATGGTACTATTGTAGCATAATTTGTTATTTTAACTAGTGCATCGGCCACTCCATCATTTTACCATATTGACAATAAGATGAGTCATAGTTCCACTAGCATCTTTCAGTTTCATCAAATTAATCATTACCCAAATATCGAATCATTAATTTAAAACGGTTGGATTATTTGAATTATCAAATTTGGAGAAACGTATGAAAACTACTTCTGTCTTTGATAAAACATTATGTTTTAAATAAAAAATCTCGTTTGGTACTACACACTTTTAACATTTAGTTTAAATAAAACGTTCAAAATTTAAAAATTATCTCACATATTATTTAACAAAACGCTATTCACTATTTGCTACCGGTTAGCAACTAGTTTTGCCAAACAAGATTGTTGGGTGTACAAGCCCCACACATAGCGGTTGGCACCGTGGTGACACTGTGAGCACCATGAGCATTTGGTGTGCGGTGGTGCGGTGAGGTCTATGCGGAAGAGTAATACCCTATGCCTTTTCCTCTCGTCTCCTCTCCAACAACTAGTTTTTTAATTTTAAAAAAATTATCAGTATAAATATTACAGCTTTTACATCTTATAGTACACAATTTTCTACAATTTTCTACCACTCTTCAAAGTTCAAACCTCCATTTATCGAAATGAATGCAAGGTACCCTCCCACCGACCTCACATCAAGATCTGGTCGAAACAAATCGCACGGAAGTGGTTCAACGACACCAATTTGAAATGTTTTTGTTTTTGATCTGCCGGTTTACCGAACACAACCCTATGCTCCTATTTTTTCATCCCCATCCAACTCCAACCCCAACAATTTCACTATTAAAATGTATCATAATTCCCCACTCCCGAAATATGTATCGCAATTCCCCCCTCTTCTATAAATACATATCGCAAAGCCAACCACTGTCCAACCCAGAAATAAGGTTTGTTCGGGAAAGATAACCAAAATCACCTGAAGTCGTAACCAAAACCGTTCCCAAACAATCCGAACCCAAAGGAAAAGGAAAAAAAACATCCAAAAATTTACATCTTTCATCCCTAAATTCATATTTTTACCATTCCAATTTACCCCCGAAGCCTCGAAATCATACCCAACACCCGAAATACGTTCCGGAGTGTTCGAAGAGCCCGAGAAATTTATCTTTTTGGTTTGAAGCTCAACCTTGGCAAGGTCAGGTTTTCAAGAAAGCTCCCGGTTTTCATCAAAGAAAGTTAAATATAGTAACGAAGTGCTGCCCAAATTACTATTTTAACCCCCGGTTAATTCACGGTGAGTTCAGTATATAGGAACAATTGTATGTTATGTGTTATATGTGCTATGTGCTTTTCCGTTTTATTATCTCATGTTGTTATTCCATGCTATTATGGTAGCAAAGTTATACCTTTGACCATGTGATCAATGAAAGGACTTAGATTTACGGTGGTACTGTTATGTAGTCTCTGGCCATGTAGAGCATGTCTCATAAGAGAATGAATTCTATTCTATGGCATTGACAGAAGGTTAGATAGGGCTGAAAGCCTGAAATCTACCAAAATGTTTAATCAGAAAGTGTATGTCTTTTGTGGATTTGGGATGAAGCTTTATTGATGTATATCAAATATGGAAATTGTTGTGTATCATTGATTGTATATATTTGAATCAAATTATTGATTGATATGGAAAGCTTGTTAGATGATTCACATATGCCTTTGTTTTTCCTTGTTCCTCTTTGCTTCTGCCATATTGGAGTATATATATGGCATAACGTTATATTGCATTTATAGTTGAACTCACTAAGCGTCACCGCTTATCCCTCTCAGTGTTTAACTATTGCAGGTAATAAGGATCTAGTATAGTCATATACTGATAGAAGATTTTGAATAGTTTAAAACTATTACTTTTGTATTTAGTACTCATGTATGTGTAAGATTATAGTATCCCAGGTAGTTATGTAATATATAGTAGTTTGAAATAGTCGATTTGTATCCAGTCTTTGTAATCAAATTATCAATGTAAAATATTATTTATGAATATGCATGTAGCATGTTTTGAATTAATTTGGAGTAACTTGGAGTAATAATGTTTATATTTATGAAAGTATGGGTCTTTCAATCATGGTATCAGAGCAGTAGTTTAAGTGAACTAAATACCATCGATTGGTATTTAGACTTAAACCGTCAGAAGTTCAATATATGAACAGATTCATTGTAAGTATATGGATACCAACCATAGGAATGATTTAAATGGGGTATTAGGTAGTGATAAGCCCTAGTATTCTAAAATATTAAGTTACTTCAAAATTTTCAGAGAATTAGTTTTAGTGAACTAGGAATTTTGAGAATTTCTAGACTTAAACATGGATTGCTAAGGGATGATGATACGATGTGTATCTACTATATTTTAGGTTCAATACCTAAATGGACACAAGCACTAGAATATTAAGAGGAAATATGCCTTATATTCTAATATGTGCTAAATGATAAATGAATATAACATGCCTTAGGTTGCTTACCTATATTGCTATTATTTGAGAAAGTTTAAGGTCTGTTGCCGACCTTAGTCTGGAAGGAGAAATTTTAAGTATTCCAGATTTTAAAATTTCCGCGTTATAACTGATAAGAAACTTTTCGAAGTGATAAAGAGACTTATGATAGTTGACATCGATAATTTTATAGATAAACGATCAAGTGATATCGTAAATAATGTATTAATACCTATTGAGTGGTATTGTACATTTAAAGTATGTTAGATGAAATAATAAAATCTTTGGAAGAATGATGTGCGTTTGAAACACAATTGGGCGAGTAAATGTGTTGGTGCAATCTATGAAGTTGTTCCACTGCTGTCCAGATTGAAGCAATGATTGGATATAGAGTCAGAAGAACCGAAGATGTTGATCAATACATCGACAGTATCGCAATTGATGTTGTGCAAAATTTAGAAGAATTAAAATGAAGATCAAAGGAAAGGCTAGTGAAGTTTTTAGACTCAATAGGCCAAGACGTTGCCGAAACATTTTGATGTAGTATGTAGTTCAAGTAGTAACCTTATACAGAATGTTCAGACTTAGTATTTAATGATACTACGTGACGATTTACTTCTATCACATCCTTATGGAAGTTCCATTGCGTGTTAAGCCGACTTTAACATACATGATTAGGATGGTGAGTTAAGTCATTTAGTGGTAAAAGGCTTAACTTACTTGTCTAAGTAGTGTATAATGCTTAGTTGAAGAAGAAATACACCCATACTATTGTATGAGAAGATAAATTGCAGTTAGGAATGACAGAGAACCAAGTTGAAGCTGGTAGGGCTTGCTGAGATGCAACTATAATGTGGACTTCTTTGGATAGACTCTTATGAAGAAGACTTAAAAGATACACCCATGAGAAGAAAACTTACTCATATACAGGAATGATGATATCATAGAAGGATAATGAAATAAAAAAAATATGCATGATGTCTTGCATGAGTTAGAAGATGATATAGGTAGTTGGAAACTGTTTGTCTCCACACTGCTAGTTTAAATTTTGGTGTAGTGTGTCTTGCAGAGTAGACACTACCCGAGAAAGAATTTATATGAAGAATTGGAAGTAAAATTTCTATCAACCTATGAAAAAGTATTAGAATATGCTAGATCAAGCATATGCATAAAAAGGATTCTAGAACACGAGTACAAGAAATCCAAGATATGTGTGAAATCCCTAGTTAAGTCTAGGAGAAAGTATCGTATGTACTTATTTAAACACATTCATGTGTGATAAGTCGCTTTGTGAAAACTTTTGAATGGTGACTTGGAAAACTGCGAGATAATACTTGGGACGAGTATGAGTAGGTGTGAATAGTAGTAGAGGCCTATACTACTGGAAGCACAAGACTCACACTTGGATCAGGGAAAGTCACAAGGTTACCAAGAAGCTAGAAAATGATTCCGTTTTT